CCCAGACAAAAAATAAAGGGTATAAATGAAAAAATCATATGGAAAAGAAATGGATATGCGTCACGAGCGTCACAAACTTGTGTGTGAGGGATGCGTACGCAGCTCTTCCAGATGAGCATGAAAGTTGGAGGGTAACTCGACGAAAGCTGAAGTGCTACGAGCGTCGAGCGTGCACGCGATATGTGTAATGCGTGCGTTGCTCCATTTCCCTATGAAAAGAAGTTTCATTTCAGATGTGTGGTCCGTGCACACAATTTTTTCAGGATTTTAAGGGTGGCAAATATTAGTATGACGCACCGTGGCTTCAACAACATCATCATCATTATCAGCCTATTAATGTCCCCACTGCTGGGGCATAGGCCTTCCCTACGGATGGAATAGGGAGATTGACCCACGCGGGCCAAGTGCGGATTGGTGGGTGCTAACGACTGCAGATGTTGCCGGGACATTGCTGATGGACAGATGTTTCCAAAGCACGGAGGAACTCGAGATAGAAGATTTTTGGTCACCCATCCAATTACCGACGATTAAAATAATATTTCCCCTAACAAAGAAGTGTGCTCAGAAATGGAAGATGTTTAACTTGGTAGAAAGAAATGTGTTAAAAATTAAACAGAGATAACTTTTAGCATTGAATATCCATTACTTGTGCATTTTAACAATCGACTGATTTTAGGCTGGCATATTTCAGGTTATCCTAACAAAAGTAATAATGGAAGAAAACAAGTGTTTTTGTATGGTTAAGATAAAGTTGGTATGATGAACTTAGCCCAAAGTTTCCGAAAATCATAAAAGACAAAACACACCTATATTTTCCTTGTTCAATGTTTGAAATTTCAGGAATTGCACATGACTTGACCAAATCAAATTTCATCCTATGAAAATAATAAGGCCCAGATAGGTCAAATACCTAAATAATAAAAATTCCACGCGGACCAGGCAGCAGACCCACAATGTTAAGAGATGGCGCTGCCTTGCAGCCTAAGAAATACCAGAGAAAATTCGACACTACCATCAGGGCCGCGGTAGCATAATAGTCAGTGCATTCGGCCGGATAGGAGGGGTGCGGGTTTGAGACAATGTATTTTTTTAAAAGTTGCTAGTAAAATTTTCTTTAGATTTTAGCATCTAGGAGACAAATACTTAAAAAATAAAAATATAATCTTATATATAAAATTCTCGTATTATGTATAAAATTCTCGTGTCACAATGTTAGTTATCATACTCCTCCGAAACGGCCTGACCGATTTTATTGAAATTTAATATTCATATTCTGTGGGTCTGTGAATCGGCTACTATCTATTTTTCATATCCTTAAGTGAAAATAGTTATCCACCTGTAACGTAGTTTTCTGAAACCTACCTACATTAACGTAACGTAGTGTTCTCATGTGGGTTAGGAGGATTTTTTTCCCAGGAAATTGATAGAACACTACGTTACACAACACTAAATTTTTTTTTGGACAATATTTATTTATTTGTTTCTTAGGCTTTCGCGCACATCATTTATTTTTTTATAATGTGGTATTAATTTAAAAAAAAATATAACCCTAAATTTTCTCTTCTGCCCCTATTTATATGGTAGTACGAAGATCGCCGAGTCAGCTAGTAGGCTGATAAGTTTGTTGTTTTCAAAAAAGATCAAGAAAGTACTTCATTTTGACCCATCGACTGCTATTTTCGTAAAACTAGATGAGCTTCTTAAAATCTTGGTCTTTTCAATAAATCTTAAAGCTTTTCCAAAGCTTCAACATTAAAAATTGGTATGTTTGTATAACAAACAGGCTTCTGTATACCGAGAAAAATTTAAATTAATACTAGTTTTGGATCTTCATCTTCCAAGAAACATCTCTTATCTATTAGACAAGTCCGTCCGTCCGTCCGTGGTGCTGTTTCAGCGGCCAAACCGTAAGAGATAGATAAAGAGAATGTTTAAGTTATAAGTTGAGAATAGTCTGATAAGACTACAAACCGGATGTGAGTAACGTAGCACTTCCGGTTTTCGAGAAATCACGTGATTTCTGTTTCAAACGAAACCACACAAAATCTCCGAAGTTCTCAATTAATTAAATACATTTTTTTTGGTGAACATTTGGTTCACTGGTTTGCTAGTAGCTTTATAATAAGGGGAACAGACTTTAATTTTAAACATTATACCATCTTCAAACGAAGAGCTGATGAGTGAGACTAATGGTGCACTGGGAAGTTTTTGGAGATGCGTTTAAATATGACGTCACGTGCCATAACGTTTTTGTCCTTATTTGCTATGCACACCAACCATAGATTCCTCTCCATAATCATCGCCTTCTGTAGTTGCCAGGATATAAAAACGAGGCACACTATCAAATATTTTCATTCAAAAGGACACCCGGCATTTTGTGCCAAAGTTGTATACTTTTTTATTTTTTTTATCTGTGTTTCATAATTGGGTAACGAAGTCTGGCAATATTTGTCATCAGCAGCTAGCTGTCAATGTCAAACACGTAGGTTTGTCATCAAAAGGGTTTCTATATCAAAAAATATTAATCATTAAATAACTTCTATCCACGATTCACTAAAAATAAGGCAAAAGTAGTTTTATGTAGCAAATAATTTTGGCTTTATTTTGAGACCAAATTCAACAGTATACAAGTTGAGCATTTTTTCTATGAAAAGTGCCGGGTCTCTTTTATACTTTTTTTTGTGTCTGGGAAATGCTTTACGCTTCATAAAATACACATTCTGTACCTGATTTTTGTTATTGTTGATTTACTTGTTCGTTTCGTTTTACAATTATGTTTAATGTATTTTTGCATTTTATGTGTATGTTATGTGCTGTCAACAATAAAAACAGTTTTTTTCTTTGTTTCTTTCTTCCTTCAACTACTGGGGGAGCGAGCAGAAGGTATGTGGGACTCCTCCTTGTTCATTTTAGCCAGCCCTTGGATCGGATGAAATAAACAAGGCCCTATTAACGCCCTGAACAGGGCTACTAAAAACCACTAGAATAAATATAAATCTTTGTTAATGTCCTACGTTGCCAAGTTTGTCAACCTAGCAATACTGCTGATAATTACCGTGAGGAATTGTTGAGATATGTTTTGATTTCACCATTAAAGTTGGCCTTTCCCATTGATTCTAGTTTAAGGTAGATAAACTACTTGTCATGTAATGAGCTGTTGTTTTTTTTTTACTACTGAACCAGAATAGTTTGTCCAGAAAAATATAATTTTAATTTAACCTGGCGGGATACCGGATATTAATTAGATTGTCGTATAATTCTCTTAAGGACAGATCTTTGAAGGTAAACTTCTCATTAACAAGTAACTTTAAGTAACTTTGTGGACGTTAGCACCATCTGAAAGTTACTTAGAAAATTGATCATCATTTTGTAATAAGCTAAAGGTCACTGCTACTTTACGTCGGCTTACACTGTTCCAATTTAAGGAGAATGTTTGAAGACAACTTGATGGAGAAGAGTCTTGTTCCCATCAAAGCTCTCTCCCAAAAACTAGTACTTACAATTAAAACCAGCCATTCTATTACAATCTCCACGGACAATAATGAAAGCGTCAATGAGTTTTATTTAAAAATTCTCAAACTCGTTACGATATTGAGCCTCCCCTGAATCATCTTTACGAATTTTCTTTTCTGCAAAGTTATAATTGCGCTCGGAAATTCTAACACAACGAAATAATATTACATAAAACTGCGGCAAGTTCCTTGAAAAGTTTGGTGAATAAGTTAATTTCATTTCATTGTTAAAAATTGTATCAGAATTGTTATTTGATAAAAATATCAAAGCACGATATATACCACTATTGTAGTTAAAAAGCATTTTTAAATCACGCAGCGATTGTTTGTATATTTCTTTCAATGCTGTAAATTCCTGCGTTGATTGTGTTTTTTTTTCTTTTGCGTACAAGAAGTGTCTTGTCCATATAAACTCGCCCGCCTAACATGAGTCTCACGATAAAATATATGTACCACATTTCAATTCCATTTTTGTTGCTGCATCTCATTACGTGACGATTCTGCCAATGTTCAGGCAATATAAGTACCACGTTTGTATCACGTCTTAATGTCAAAATCCATAAAACTTTGACAACAAAGAGGAATTAAGGGACTTTTTGGCGGGATCGGGAAGCGTCACTTTAGCAGTTTTCTTTTTCTTGTTAAACATTGTGTTTTGGCCGATGTTAGTGTCTAATAATGGTGGATTATTAACCACTAAATGTTCGGGAACATGCACAAGTGTTGTCAAGTGAAACAAAATAGCGGAAAGTGTCTTTCGACGTTCCCTCAAGAAGTCCACGGGGAGGTTCCCGTAAATCCCCACACATTTACTGAAACATAGGGAAAGGAGGATAGACTAGACTGCCACTTACTTTGACTTGACTTATTACTTTGACCACGAGTGCTTTAGAATTTGTAAACATTTTACACTTGACATTGGCTAAATGCACAAGCAGTGCGAAGCCATTTAGAAAAAAAAAAGCGGAACTACAAATACGTTTGACGCTAGCAAAAACAGATTTCGGCTAATCGTATATCATGTGTACTGAAAATTTTCAACAGTTTTTGTACGATTTACATTTCTTACAATTATACTCTTTAACAAAATCGTATTTAAACCTAATTAGAAATTTAATAATTCACAAAATATGTCATAATTATTATTGTAAAGTGAAAATCTTAACAGTCGCTTAGTTTGCTGTGCAGCGATGCATCAGAAATCAATTAGCCATTTCATCGAGAAAAAAGGGGAAGGGAAAAATAATTTTCATTTTAATTTAAGAAGCACAGACATTAATGTAGTCTTTTTTTAAAGCGGTGGGTCCTACCCTGGGGAAAAAAATCGAATCTAAACCATAATACACCAGGGAAAAAAATAAAATAATTTAGTAAAAAAAGAAGAAGCTCTCCCGCCGTAGATTTGCGAACCGATGGCGTAGCTTTTCGACATTCACAAGTGAATAAACGATATTGAATTTTGAAGTTTTTGAGAAGCGTCATTAATACCTGATGGTTTATTTCGCTGCCGCACACGATCCCGAACAACAGAATTGATAACAGGAATGCCTTCATTTTTACTGGCAGTTTTTTCACTTCACTAGCACTGTTATTAATTAATTGCAATTGGTACCTTGTACCACACGGGGTCTATCGCACGAAGATATAGAAGAGCACAAATGCAGAAAATTCACACGTATTAGTGTTTTATACGGCCATAGAGGAAAATGTAGGGTGGGGGGGTAGCGTTGCGTACTCGCGTGCATATGCACTAGAGTACAATATGTGACGTAAAAAGTTCAAAAACCTTTGTCATGTATTATTTACTTTTTAAATTTCTTTTTTAATCTCGCAAAAAGTTTGCATTAGATTTAGAGAATGGTTACGATCTGGTTGTGGCGGTTTTCAAATTTTGTTGATGGATTTTTGAATTTTGTCTGCAATGTTAAGTTTTAATAGGTAATTAAACTTTCATTTTCGTTGGACGCTTCTTTTCAGGAATGTTGGTAATTATAGCTCTCTCTTTCTTTCTAAGTTAACTTGAACAAGTGCGACAATTACATTTAACGTTAAACACATATTGATCACGTAATTTCAATAGAATGGAATGGAAATAAAATATTTGTTGTGAATACTTTAATGTTATTGAAATGTACTTTGCATGATTAAGCATAATAAAACGCAATTGAGATTAAATTTTGTAAGCATGCTTAAAAGACGAATTCTCACACAATTTTCGAACAACATGATAACTCTGTTACATAGACGTAAATTTATTTAAGGATTTTCACCGCCCGTGGTCAAATGCTGTCATTAAAATGTTTTATGTTAATCTTTCACACATCAATTTAATAGTAACAGAATATAGAAAATTAGGACATTAATGTTAACAAATTTTATTTTTATGTATGGAGCTAGTATTTGCCAGATTGTTTTATCCAAAGTAAAATATGTAATACAAAAAATCAAAACCTTCTGTTTTTAACATTTAGGTAGAGCTACTGGACTCAAGGTTTATTTTTATAAAGAAATGAAATATATTACTTCTATTTATCATCATCTTCATCTTCATCATCATCATCATCAGCCTATTAATGTCCCCACTGCTGGGGCACAGGCCTTCCCTATGGATGGAATAGGGAGATTGGGCCATGACCCACCACGCGGGCCCAGTACGGACTAACGACTGCAAATGCAGCCGGGACCAACGGCTTAACGTGCCTTCCGAAGCACGGAGGACCTCGAGATAGTAAATTTTTGGTCACCCATCTAATGACCAACCACTGCGAAAGTTGCTTAACTTCAACGATCGCAGCCGAACGCGCTAACCACTTGCACCATCGAGCTCTTCTAATTATTTTTCTTAAAAAGCAGAAATAGCCAAGTTTTTTATGTATAACTATGGCCAACATGCACATCAGCAGTCTCATGACAAGCAGCTATCATAGACCTTAGATCAATCCGATAGCAGAACCTCGTAGTAGAAGACAAGCAACTTTTAGAAAGGCCGGTCGATGATGGCTGACCATACATTTTCTACCTAGAGGAGGTGCCGTGCTTCGGTACGGCTACCTCTCTGACAGTAACAGGTTTTTAACGTAATTTTTTTTTTCAATTTTCGAAAGTGCTTGACCTTACCAGGCATTAACTGTTTCCGAATTTGATGACGCTTAGTATCGTCTTCAGAAGTGAAAAATACCCATTACATAACTCTTTTAGTAAACTTTATGCTATCCAGCGAAGTCCCTGTAAATACTGTCGAGATTCTTTACGAGGTCCACTTAATTGCTCTAAAGAAAGAAAAGACGGCGGTATTTGCCATATAGCTGTTGTCTCCACCTTTCGCTGTATAGCATCCAAAATTTGTTGTAACCATATTTTGCCGGCAGTTTCAGTTGATTTTCAACCGGTTCAGCTTGGCTTTGGCGTCAAGGGTGCTCGTGAAGAACTGTACACGCTCTTCAGACCTATCTGTCGCTTGATGCTGCAGAGGCGGTGCTGAAGGTGGATGTCAAGAATGCCTTCAACTCCGTAGATAGAGGTGCCTTGCTTTCAGTAATTAAAGAAAAATCTCCTACTATTTATAACTAGCAAACCAGTGAATCAAATGTTCACCAATTAAAAAAAAATGTATTGAATTAATTGAGAACTTCGGAGATTTTGTGTGGTTTCGTTTGAAATTCGTGATTTCTCGAAAACCGGAAGTGCTACGTTACTCAAATCCGGTTTGTAGTCTTATCAGACTATTCTTAACTTATAACTTAAATATTCTCTTTATCTATCTCTTACGGTTTGGCCGCTGAAACAGCACCACAGACAGACGGACGGACGGACTTGTCTAATAGATAAGGGATTATCTTTCGCAATGCTACAACAACCTACTAAAATTATTTTTTCATAACTGCCTGTTGTATTCATCTGTTGGCTGTCAGTAATGCGATCCTTTCGGAACCGCTATATTGAGTTTGACAATACAACCTATAATAATCGATTTGCTAAATTCAAAATTTTATATGTGATACCTTGATGACGGAACTATCGCTGGTGATATTTCAACAGTTCCTTCTGAGTTTCACGTTATTATTGAAAATTCGAAAATATAGGCCTAGATCTAAATTATTCAAAATGCAAGCTATTTATTCCAGACTCAAAATTTTCACCTGATAAGCTACAATACATAATTACCAATTTTCGATTTTAGCTTCTAATATAAAAATTCTTGACTGTAAATAACTCCGTCTCTTAGGTTCCCGCATCTTTGACGATGCTATTCTTATGTTTAGTGGTCGGTTATTGGATGGGTGACAAAAAACCTTTTATCTCGAGTTCCTCCGTGTTTCAGAAGGCACGTTGCTGTACTATTGTCAGTACAATGCTGTTGAGTTAATCAGGGCTCAAGTCAAAGGATATGCAGCACGCCCTAAGAAACTGCCTCCACTAAGAAAATGATGACATTTCTGAAAGAAGCTTGTGCCAAAGTCACTAAAGGAGACTGGGAAAAAGTGGTAGAAAAAACACTAAAAACAATTAAGGAAGATTAAGATAGAGCCGTCAATATTGATAATATTTTCTATACTTATAATAAATCTGTAGAGAGGTCAATTCTGTACATGAAATATATTTTCAAAATAACTATCAGGGGGTGATTAGTGATCGATACTGATGCCAAAAATGCAATCAGTAAATTTTTTGTCTGTCTGTCTGTCTGTCTGTCTGTGTGTATGTTCCTTATAGAAACAAAAACTACTCAACGGATTTTAACGAAACTTGGTACAATTATTCTTCATACTTCTGGGCAGGTTATAGTATACTTTTCATTACGCTATAATCAATAGGAGCAGAGTAGTGAAGGGGAATGTTGGGAAAACGGGAGAAGTTACTCCATTTTTTAAGCTTCCGTCGCGTGTGCAGCCTTAATGGTTAAAGTTACATAGAAATCATGTATGACGGAAATATTCTACATAAAATTGTCTAAAAAACAGCCCGTAACAGCATATAAATAAAGTCATTGTTTATAGCACAAGCCTGAGAACAAAAACTATAGTTTACACTACCAGCTCTACACCGAAGCGAAGCGAGGGCGGGCCACTAGTAGAAAATAAAATAATATACAGGCGACGGTAAGTCATCTGACGATTTTGGATCATTATCAGAAGAAAATTTTTGATCTTTACATTAGTACCAGCTGCATCTGCACTCGTTAGCACCTACAAATCCGCACTGGGCCCGCGTGATGTTACATGGCCTAATCTATCTATTCTATCCATAGGGAAGGCCTGTGCCCCAACAGTGGGGTCATTAATAGGCTGATGATGATGATATATACTTGCGAGACTGGGCAATCGCTTGTAATATCGTCATCTTTATAAACCGATGGACGTCCACTGTTGGACATAGGCCTCCTCTAGGAATCTCTATGGTCACATAAAACGTCCCAGTATTTTTTTATAGATTTGTTGATTAAAAATTCAATTTAATATAGTAGCGGTGAATAAAAATACTGGTAGGTTTCCACCAGTTTATATCAGTTTCCACAATAAAAATTTACATCGCTCGCTAATTAAACATAAACAAAGGGATGCGAATTGGTAAACATTGTTAAAATGTGGTCACGATTTATTCACATATTAATTAACCAAATTGGTCCAATTAGCGATTAATAGCGACTACCGACTACAACTGTTAGTTGGGGTACGTTGGGTTGTGTGCGAAATGAATGTAACTCGACATAAATTTACGTAATTGTGTTCTACGTAAAATTAAGCTGACATTTCATTTGTTCGGTTCTTATTAGTTAGTAGGTACAATGTTTAGTGATTAGATTAGGAAGTATAAATTATAAGAGTGGTAAATCGTAGTGAACTCCACTCAGAATCGAGCGTCTGTTTTGGGGATGTAATAACCTCACAGAAAACCTTAGAGAAGACTCACCGAAGACTTGAAGAAAACACACAGAACACATACCTACAGAAGAAATAGAAAAGACATACAGCAGACTAAGAAGACCTACAAACGACACACAGAAGACACCCAGAAACACACAAATAAGGTATACAGGAGACACACAGAAAATAAACAGATACCACAAAACGCCGCCACTGGCATATTTCTTGTAGTTTTCATACATTTTATATGGACTCGCCACACACGGTACGCCGGTGGCCGCCACACGCTACAAATCGTCGTTGCTCGCTTCTTGTGGTCCGCACCGGCCCCATAATGCGCCGATACAAAACGCCGCCACACGTCACTCGCGCGATTCCCCATCCCTCTCACCCTTACCTTTATCGGGCGCTGACACGCGCTTCAGCCACTTTAGTAGCCGCTTCTAGCTTCTCGTGGCGGCGTTTGTGGCTGTGGCGTTTGGCCCGTGTGCGGCAACACTAAGACGATAACTAGAAGGCACCCAGAAGACAAACAGAGCACACACTGAGCACAGACAAAACACCCATAGTAGACACCCAGGAAACTTTCAAAGAATACACAGAAGACATACAGAAAAAATACAGAAGACACAGAAGATCTACAGCAGACACACAAAAGACGTGCAAAGGACACACGTAACAAATATAGAAAACTAGCGGCCCGCCCTCGCTTCGCTTCGGTGAAGAGCTGAAGTGTAGACTACAGTATTTGTTCTCAGGCTTGTATTATACACAATGACATTCATCTATGACTAGCAAACCAGTGAACCAAATGTTCACCAAAAAAAAAATGTATTTAATTAATTGAGAACTTCGG